TGTATAAACAAACAAATAAATAAATAACAATAAATCTTTAAAAATAAAAAAAATTAAAAAAAAGGGCATGCATTCAGAATACATCAAGAACTCTCTAACCTGGATAAGAAAGTAACCCAATTTATATGGGGGGAAAATCTGTACATGCAACAAACAAGATAGGTAAATGACCAATAAACAAATGAAAGGATGTTTAACCTCATTAGTCATTAGGGAGATGCAAGTTAAAACCACCAAGAAACACCATAATCCACTTATTAGAATGGCAAAACAAGAGCAAAACTGAAAATATCAAGTGTTGGCGAGAGTGTGGAGCAACTGCCACTCTCAGATACCCCTAGTGGACATTCAAAATGGTACAGCCACATAGGAAAAACAACTTGACAGTTTTTTACTCAACAGGAATTTACTCAAAAGAAATGGTAACTTATAGTCACACAAAAACTTTTATGTAATTAATTATAGCCACCTTTTTCATAATCATCAAAGAAAGGGAAAATATGAAGATGTCTTTTAGCAGTGGATGAATAAGGGATGGCATGTTCCTACAATGGAATATTACTTTGCCATATAAGGAACAAAATACTGCTTCATGTAGCAACCTGAATGAATATTAAATGTTTTTTCTAAGTGAAAGGAGCCAGACCAGAAAATCTACACATTGCATGACTTCAATTCTGAAACTCTAGAAAAGATAAAACTATACAAATGGAAAATGGAACAGTGGTTGCCAGGGGTTAAATGAGGAAAGGAGTCATCAAAAAGAGCAGAATAAGGGTTTTTAGGGTAACGGAACTGTTTTGAGTGCAACTGTAGTGGTGACGACAGCTCTGAATTTATCAAAACCTACAGAATTGTACAATACAAAAAGTTAGTTTTGCTAAATGAAATAAAATCAACTAGGAATGGATGAAATACCAACGATGACAAATAAATCTAACCATATTGAAAGACAAAAAATGTTTTGACTGGCTACTGTAAGAATAAACACACATATAACTATATACTAACAATATACTCTAGTTGGTGAATTTGTTTCCAGGAACATGATTTAACAATTTTGAAACTACTTTGTAGGTATACTGGGAATGGGCAAACAGGCATATGGATTACACCAACTTTGAAATGAGAGCCAGTTTTCTTGAGAAGAAAGAAAGGACAAATACGAGAAGGGGTCAGGCTTGAATATCTCCTGCGAAATTGGATTGGAATCAGAGGTGTGAGTATAGACTCATGGCTTTTGTTTGACACATGCATAGATAAGTGAATACAGCAATGAATACACTCCTGTATTGCTGAGTAAGGGTGGTACATCCTCAGAAATGTGGTATTAGGTGTTTCATCACTGGGAAAATGTCATTGAGTGCAATTATACGAACCTAGAGGTATAGCCTCATACACACCTAAGTTGTATATGAGCTAGTCTACTGGGACCTCCCTCCTATATGTGATGTTATCGACTGAGCTGTCATTAAATAACATTTAAGTGTGTAGATGCATGCTATGCACGCGTTGAATACATGCATAAATTTCCTAGCTCTATCCACCAGTATCCAGATATAGTTTTCTCCTTGGAAAAGCAGTCAATTTCTGTGGTGCCAGAAAGTAATGGAGAGTTCAAGAACAAAAGGGTACAAGGGAGGGAGTGCACGTCAAAGGGCATAGGAGCCAACCTGAATGAGCTTCTAGCCAAAATGAGAAATTGAAGAGTAAAATAAACTACAGTATTGTATTGTAATCCAAAGAAAAAAATAACCATCTAAGAGTCCTTATGAATATAAACCAAACAAACAAACAAACAAACAAACAAACAAGGGACAGAAGAATTCATATTAACAAATGTAGGATTGTGGGAAATAGAAAATCTCCATCAAACTCCATAGCAATGACTGTAGACAAGAGCCAGCAATGGGTACCAAAATTTAGTGGGTGAAGATTTTAAGCAGAAATAGGATGTTTGCATTGTCTTGAAGTATTTCTACCAAAAGATGTACTAATGACACAGGGCGGGAAAGTAACTTATAGGAGAGAAACCTGGCAAATACCACATTGACCTCCATGAGCAACATGATACATATTGACATGTGCATCACTGAGAAGGGCACATCAGCTCTGGTATCCTGCAAAGTAGTCAAGACAAAGCATCAGACAAGCCCAGACTGAGGGACATTGTAGGCAATATCTGACCAGTAATCTTCAAAAGCATCAAGGTCATGAAGGACAAAGACCGAGGAAATGTCACAGACTGAGAGAAACTAACAGAGACAAGACAGACAATGCAGTGTGGGGTCCTCAATGGGATCCTGGAACAAAGAATGAACTTCAGTGAAAAACTAGTAAAATGCAACACTGGCTGTGCCTCCCTGGTGGTGCAGGGGTTAAGTCTCAGCACTATGAAGCTATCACAGCCACTGCAGCACAAGTTCAGTCTCCAGCCAGGGAGCTGAGCCGCATTCTGTAGCAGACCTCTCCTATCTCGCCTGCTGCCCGCCTCAGCAGTGTATTTCAGTCAGTCTGCCTGTTCTGTTCCCTACTCTGTCTCTGGTGAATCCCTCTCACCCGCTGCTCCCCACAGCAGTGTATTTCGGTCAATCCACCTATTCTGTTCCCCACTCTGTCTCTGGTGAATCCTCTCCCATCCGCACCTCTGGCCTACACCCCAGCTCCTGTATGCATAAATAAATAAATAATTTTTCAAAAAATACAAACACCAGCTGCAGTGAATAGCATTGTAGCAATGTTCATTTGTTTGTTTTGATCATTTTTCTATTATTTTTAAGATGTCAACAAAAGAGGCTGCTTGAAAAATAGATAGGAATACTACCATTTTTTAGACTTCTGCCATCTAAAATTATTTCAAAATAAAAACTTTAATTAAAAACAAGGATACTGGGGCCTCCCTGATAGTGTAAGGCGTTAAGATGCAACCTATGAAGCTATCTGCAGCCACTGCAGCACGAGTTCGATCCCCGGCCAGGGAGCAACCCACATGGCACAGCAGACCTCTCCTGACTCGCCCACTGCTCCCCTCAGCAGTGCATTCCAGTCAATCTGCCTGTTTGGTTCCCCACTCTGTCTCTGGTGAATTCTCTCACCCCCCCCCACACTTCTGGCCTGTACCCCAGTTCTTGTATGCATAAATAAATCTTTTTTAAAAATTTAAAAAATAAATAAACAAGGATACCACTCAGTGATAGAGAGGAAAAGTGTTTTTGTATGTATTATTATTTATTTAATTGTATTCTTTTTTACTGTACATGATTAACATATACCTATTCTGGCATATGTTACCACACCTTGCTCACCCCCTAACCACTTGCAATCTTCCACCCTCCCCAGCCTCACTGTCCCCCCTCTTCTCATCTGATAGCTAGCAATAGAAAAAAATTTTAAATAAGAAGTTACAAGAACTGTATTTCATGATCCTTAGAATGATATAAACTTTTTAAAATTAGGCTTCTTGAGCATTTTTATTTCTCCAAAATTGACTTATGACAAAAAAGAAAAGGTGCTACCATATAAAAAGCTCTGATTATATCATGCTCCTGTTCAAAATGTTAAGTGATCCCCTACTGCCTTTTCATTGAGTTTGAATCTATTCATTAAATGGCTCTGACCTTTGTGGCTTCCCCTTCGCTATTAGGCTCTGCACACTTTACTCCCTCAAATCCAACTTGGGCTCTGCTGCCTTCCTTTATCCTGCATCTGGAAATGTCTTTTCCCCAGACTACTTGTCCAGAGCCTATGCATACTTCCCAGAATGAAGAAACTTCTCTCTCCCTTAAACTCTCAAAGAGTCTCCCTCACAATCCTTATCAATTTCCAGGACTAACCTTAGATGCAGGTGACAGGGGCTTCTGCCCAGTGGCTATCTGGAGTGCCTTCTTCCAAATTTTCTAGCTCTTCCTTTGTTCCTGAGACCACAGGGTTCCATCCAGAAGAGACCCAGAGGTTAGACCAGGACCTACATACTGCCTGGTCCTCGTTTCTCCCCCTTAAGGACACTTACCCTCTGCACCTGTAATGGGTTGACCAGATGTCCCAAGGGTCTCGAGCACCTGGGCCTACTCTCAGCTGATCCTAATAGGTGGTCACTCCCCCTGCATGTTGGACATTTCTTTTAAGGGTCTGCATGAGATTGGACCACTAGAATGGTGCCACCATACTGACTAGGCTGACTCAACTTGTTTGTACGAATAGGAACTCTGCTAAAAAAATTTGCCCAGGACCCTCACACTCTAGGGCTGTCTATTTCTATTCCTACTTCTATCCTGAATGGCACATTCCTTTAAAGACCCATGTTTTAGTCCTAACTGTATCTCCTCTCCAGAATGTTGCCTATCTTTGTGCTTTGTATATAGCAGATGCTCCAAAAATATTTCTTAGAATGAATGCCTAAAGGAATGAGCAACATCTCAAATTTACATACTTCTTTTGAGCCAAAGTTCTAACTATATTTTCCCTGAACAAATCCCTAGATCTTCGTTGTTCTTCTGTGTGGCAAAGAGGAATGTTCATGTCCCCAAGCCCTCCAGACACTGACCTGACTGTCGATGGGCTGAAAGCGTATCAAGAAGGAACAAACAGGTCTCCAGATTCTGTTGACAGTAAGCTGCAAGTGAACTTCAACTCCAAGACTTGTGAAAACAGCCAAGCGTGGGAATGGTGGTGAGTGATTCAAGTTAGGCAGTCCCGAAGTTCAGATTGAACAATGCTTTGGCTGCAACAAATTGTAGTGATAGAACATATGTTTGTCGTGCTTTGCTTTTGATCTTCTGCTCCAAAGTTGAGGATACTTTCCCAAGGGGGAGGAAAAAAGGGAAGAAGAACTGAATAGAAGAAAACTGAGTTCACCCATCACTGCAATACTTCATACCTGAAGCACAACTACCTTGAGAGAAGAACATGGTGGCGGCTCTTCACAGTCACCTGATCAAGGGGCTTGGGTTTGATCTGACTCAGAGGGAAATACAATACCACTGAAAGGCCTCCCCCCAGCACCTGAGCACTCACAGCCAAGCCCGGGCTTGGCCTCAGCGGACTTATGAGAAAAGATGACTGCCAGAGCCACACACGGGAGGAGGCCTGCTGTTGCCAGGTCCGCCCCTGAGGATCACAATGACCACGTGAGGTCATGGAATGTTGAAGATGAAATGAAAGTAGCTCCTAAGTCACAAAGTCGCAGGCGGGTGGGCATCCTTTTGGCAGAGCTCCCAAGAATAGGGCTGATTCACTCTCCCTGATGATCCCAGGAAGTAGCTGCCTCCCCCAGACAAAACTGGGGTCTAATCCATGCATGTCCAATTCCCACCAAAGCCTCCTCTCCCTAGGGCTTGCTGAGATGGAAGGATAACGACAAGCCCCCCAAAGATTTGTCCGTGTGAGGACAGGGTGGACAAAGTTTGAGACAGAGGTGAATGGACAGGTGTGCTTCTTAGGGAAGCAGCAGAAAGGTGGCAAGAAGCTGGCAGCAACCCCCAAGAGGGTCCTGGCAACATGGATGATGACGAACCTCTTGATTCTGAGACACAAGGTGAAAAGGCACCCCATTTCTCACCTCTCAGGCCCCCTGCCTGAATCTAACACCCAGTGATCACATGCACCTTGAAGCTCCCCCCTTCCCTCCTCACATGGAACCTCCTAGAATTGGAATGTGTTACATTGACTTGACTTCAGGGCTTGCCAAGTAGGGGAGAGAGTTGGCTGTGATGCTGTGCTGGAACTGGCTCACGCCACCTCTCCCCAGCATCACACAGCTAGTTTGAAGTCAGACATGTTGGGAATATTTACACCATGTGCATGGCCTAACGCTGCAAGGCAGGATACTTTGTTCCTGGAGAGTCAGTTACACATTACCAGCATTCCACTATTGAACGGAATTCTAAAAATGCTGGATGAGAACATTAAGGCTCAGAGAGGCATCCTTCTTTGATAGGGTTACGTTTGATGGCTAAGTTGTATGTCTTCTAACTGCCAGGCCACTTACCCCTTGTCTTACAGGCAGGGAAATCAATGTCTGGGGCTGGGCCTATGGACATGGATGTGCAGATCCACTAGGCACCCCACCATACAAGAACCACAGTTGTCAAAACGTGGACCCCTGCCACAAATGCTCATCCCACCCAAAGAAAAGGCTGGCTAAGTTCTAGCAAGCCCGCTGGGGGCCCAGAGTGGCTTCCCTGAGCCATTTCATCTTGCTGATGCTGAGGACCAGCTCTGGACCCTGGGTGTGGGTTTCAGGAGGCCAGGTCTGGGCTCAGGTCAGTGGCCCAGTGGCAGAAAATACACATGAAGCAAGTGCAGGAGACTAGTGTAAAGGAAGCTCACACGAGAGTACTTATTCACAGCAGATAATTTCAACCTAAGCCTTCTTCAAGGACATAAAATAAATGTTGGATTGGAAGGAAGAGAAACTAGGTCAAATTCTTAGGAAGAAAAGTTATCGTTCCCGCTCCCTAAGTCTGCTCCTGCTCACTTTTATTTTACCTTTGGCTCAAGTCACCTGCCCTGCCCCTTGCCATCACTGGTGCCTGCAATGAGGAAGCTTTGGTACCTGTATTTCCTCTGAAAGAACAACAGCGGACTCTGAATCCCAATTAAGCGGACTCTGAATCCCACCTAAGCCAATAAGAAGGAAAAGAGTGAGCAAGAACCAATTCTCCAAGACAGGCCCTAACCAGAGAGTGAGATGGGAGCAGGAGATCCCCAGAGGCCATAAAGGGGTGTTTAGCACCAGGCCCCACAGCCCAGTCATCTGCAAGATAGCTTCCTGATGTGGAGGAGGGCTTACAGAATGGAGCTGAGCATCGGGCTACAGTTCCATGGCCTCCTGAGCCACATGAAGTCAGGGATAAAGGCTGCAGTCATGACTTGGGGTGCAGAGAAGGGAACGGAGGCACAACGGACACACTCTGGGTTCTGTAGGGGAAACCACAGTTTCCCTTCAAGAATCAGAGATGACTTTTCCTTCCAGATAAGACTGAAGCTGAGTTAGCACGACAGAGCAGTGAGGAAGCCCTGTACTGTGAGGCCGGTGCGCCCCTGGCTGTTGAGAAAGAGAAATTAATCCAGGAGGACTCAGAAACGGACCTCGAGATTGAAGGTGAGAATGGGCATTTGCAGGGTGGGTTGGCTGCTGGCCTCCTTCCTTAGAAACTGGAGAAATCTGGTTTCTCCAGGGGGCCAAGGCATTGCCCACCAGGACGCCCTGCATAGGGAACAGGCAGAGACAGTCACGGTCATTTCATACCGCGTCCTCAAGGCTGACCCTTGGCGGCAGCCGCCCCTGCTCGTGGCCACCTCATGAGCAGAGCGGTCACGTCAGCCTGTTGAAAGCTGAACCAACAAATGAGCAGGAGTTTCGTGTTTCCTAGTGTTCCCACTTGCGGGGCCTTAGGGTCATCTTTGCAGCAGTGCTAGGAGGGAGGTGTAATTACTCCCATCTTTCACAGAGAAGGAAACTGCGGCTTAGTGAGACTGTGTGAGCTGCCCAAGGCCACCCGCCCACATGCCCTGACCACAGGCCTGTCCCACCTGCCTCCCACACGCCGTACCCCAGGACCCCCGACTCCCAGGACTCCCATCACATATCCTACTGACTCTCCTCTACGTGCATTAGAGTTCTGGTTTCTCTACTTGAGGGGCCTGTGTTTTCCCCCCATAAATCTAAGCACACCTGGGTGTGGGGGGGCTGGTGAAACCAGAGCAGGAGCTTGTCCCTCCTGTTTCCCCAATGAGGAAAGGGCCCAGAGGAACACCGTGCATGGTGCCCCCAGCCGCTCCGCTTCTGGTGTCCCTCCAGCTGGTCCCGAGATGCAAGGGGTATGCCAGGAAGGGCTTCCTGGGATGGCCTGGGCCGGGCCTGGGTGGAGACAGCAAGTGGTGGTCAGGCCACAGAGCGAGAAAAGGGAGAGAAGTTGCTCATCCACCCCATGCTGTTTTTCCAGTCCGACAGTGGTCCTCACCCCAGGTGCTTCTGTACCTAGGGTACATCTGGCAAGCTGGGGGGTGGGAGGGACAGGTGCTACTGTTCACCCCATGAGTGCTGGCCAGGGATCCTGCTCAACAGCCTGCTAGCACCGCCTTCACTCCTGAGAATTCTCCCACTTGGAACGTCAACACTGCCAAGGTTGAGAAGCCCAACTGCACACCCATCCCAAAGAGAAGGCCAACTTGAGCTGTGTCTGCAAAAGCAATTCCTAACTAAGTTGTGCTTTCACAAACAAACTTCTCATTGTCTGCCTTAGAAATGTTTGGGGTGGGTTGGCCAAAGGCCCTAGGATCTGAAGGAGGAACAGAGGCAGGCTTCCCCCTCAGCTCTCCAGCTGGCCACGGGAGCCCGGCCACAGGCGGGCACAGCTGTGGGGACACCCAGAATCCAGACACACAGGTCCATCACCCAGTGACCACCAGTCAGCCTCCCAAAAGCTAAGAGGAAGGTGTGGAGAGGCCACAGGCCGGGCTGTGCTAGCTGCAGGGGGCACCGATCAGCTGTGTGCCATTTGGGGATGGCAGTCCTTGCGAGGAGAAACGACATGCAGGTTTTTTGACAGAGGAAACCCTACTTGAATACAAGTTTGCTTGTTTCTGGCAGATTTGGGGGGGTCTTTCCATCTTGCACCAATTTGCCCCCGGAAAAGCCCACTCTGTCCTACCTGGGCTTTTCACAGTTGGTACTTTTCTTAACCTTTACTAAACTTTTGTTTATGGCTTTCAACATTGGAACGTGGCAGTGGGATGGGAACGGAAATGCAGACACTCTCAACCATCACAAGACACCAGCCTTTTGTCCAGCGGCCTTTCAAAGCTGTCCCACGTGGGCAGGAGGCTGGATGTCCAGTCAGCGCCGTGGCCACCTAGAGAAGGGCTAGAACACACCACTGCTGCTCTTAGGAAAGCTCAGGGCCTACCTCAGAGGAGAAGTCTGTTGGGGTTTTGGGGCTTGGGTCCCCCCCAACACACACACACTGGCTGACTTCCTGAGAGCACACGCCACAGGGATGGAGCCTGAGGAAGAGGAGGCACCAGTCAGAAGCAAACATGGTCGGGGGTGAGAGGGAAGGTGATGGCAAAGGTATGCCATCTTGCTTCTTTTCTGCAGATTCTGAGAAATTTTTCACCACTGGACAAAAGGAGCTGTACCTGGAGGCCTGCAAAGTGGTGGGTGTAGTGCCTGCCTTCTACTTTATCCGGAACATGGAGGAGCCCCGCATGAATCTCAACCACCACGGGCTGGGGCCCGAAGGCATCAAGGCCATAGCTATTGCCCTGGTGGTGAGCGTGGTGGGGGCAAGGCAGGGCAGCCTGGTGGAAGTGGGGTGTGGACAGGCTTGGTGGGCCCCAAGTTCAGAGGTTCCCCCCACAGGACCCCAAATTGCAACTTTTAAGCCCACCCTGTCCTAGGCTCTGCTTGGTTGCCTGATTTCCCCCAGCAGAGACAACTCCCCTTTAGCTCCTGGGAAGGAGGCTTTGGAAGTCTGTGCTCCTTTCTATTCAGGAAGCAAAGGCACCAGCCGTGGGCCCAGGAAAAGCGGCTAGCACGCCTTCTCAGGAGCGCTCATACACCTTGTCCGCCCGGGGCTCATTTCCAAAGCTCCCCTTTGCTATATTAATGGCTTCACTACTGAGCTACCCTTGTGTGACATCTAACTCTTAAAGGTCACACTGTAAAGAGTGTTTCCCCACAGGAGTAATCTCTCTCTCCCTCGCTCCCTCCCTCTCGGCTTGGCATAAGCGAACCAGGACTTGACCTTGCATTCATCACCGCTTATGTAATTATAATTGATTATGTACAAAATGGACTCCCATCCCAGAAAACCAGATAATCTAACACCCACTTCTCAGCACAGCACTGCTTCTTCACTTAGAATGGTAAGAGCAAGTTCAACTAAAAAGAAAAAGCTCTTACACATTGTTTGGAAATACAACAGCATTTGCATTGAGGACACGCCCGTGAAGAAGTTACATGAAATGTGAGCTTGTGCTGATCGCTGGGGGGAAGGGAGGAGGTAAGAGCAGAGAGAAGAAAGCCACCTTGAAATGTCGTGAGCACAGAAAGGCCGAGGGATGCAGTGTCCCGAGTGCACCGTACCCCATGAGCTTCCTGGAAAAACATGGATAATAATGGAATCTTCTCCAGATTTGAGCCACTCGTTTCTTGGCAACAGTTTCTGTTACCAAGCTGAGTTATCCCTCAACTCTCTGGATCATGCCTTTGACAACTGCTGGGACATTCTGGTGGACTGGACACTCATTTATCTTTTGTGCTGTTTAACTTTGCATGTGGTGTATTTCCCCAGCCTGCATGAAAGACACTGATGATAATATTTCACACTTCCTCCAGGCTGGGCCTCACCAGCCCACCCCCCACCCCCACTCCCTGTGGCGAACAGGCCCTGGAGAGCAGGGATTTTCTCTGTTCATTCTCGAGGGTGGCACCAAGGGTGGCATAGACACTCACTGTGTGAGGTGAATGGGCTTGGTAGTGGGCTGGCCACTGATCCCCAGGATGACAGCGACCACGCCCCTGCCCGGGTCTGGGACCAAGAAGTCACCTGAGCCATCCCTCTTGTCTTTTAGCACAGATGAATTTTGCCCACCCCCAAGTGCCGAGCCCAGGGATATGTCACCGTGTCGCAGGGTGGGTTGTTTGCACCAGGGTAGCTGGCACGGTCTCTTCCCTTTCCTGGAGTGAGAGCGGTTTTCCAGAGAGTAGCTTCTCTCCCTACTTGGTGAACTTTGAAAATGCTCAAATCTCATGACAAAGGGAAGAAGAAATGTTCAGGTTAGAGCTAATCAGTGCTTCAGGGATGCTTCGAGTCACGTCCTCTGGTCTTGCTCCTTGTGAGAATGCAGACTAGTGTGGGTGGAGATATCTGAGTTCAGCTCCCACCAAACAGCCTTGAGGTCACATCCTAACTGAGAGAGAGCACCACCATTAAGCCTGAAGACTAAACTAGAATAAAGGCCTCTGAAGGAAGCAGGCACAGTAAATGCTTTATGCGTGAAGCTTTTTGCTTTAACGCCCTTATAAAGAATATTGAGTTCTCCTTCATCTTGAGGTGGGCAGAGGCTTCTCTCAAAGCCAAACTGTTCAAGTGCATCCTCACGCCTCTTTTTAGGGCTTGAACTACTTTCGCATCCCTCTTCTGGATTTCCCCATGGAAGAACCCCTTTGGGTGGAGGTGCCCAGAATAAACACATTGTCTTGGCAAAACCCAGTGTGAAGCTATCTCCCCAGCCCCCACAGCTGTTTTCCTACTCCTGGCACCTTCCAGAACTGCTAGCCTGTGTCTCTACCCTCTGCCTTAGCTGGGATGTTCAAGAGAGGGGGCAGCTTCTGGGTAAGAGCGAAGAACTGGTGGGGTCACCAACCACCTTTGTCTTTCTCCCCCTCCGTCCATGGTGGCTGAAGTCCAACACGAGCGTTGTCACACTGGAGGTAGCAGACAATAACATCATGGCCAAGGGCGTCCTGAGCCTGATGGAGATGCTGCGTGAGAACTACTACATCCAGGAGATGGTACTGTGCCCACCTTGAGCCTGCAACCACCACACCTGGGGGACAGAGCCCACTCAGAGGACCCCAGGCCCCGCCCCAGCCCCCCGCCAGCCTCCAGGGCTTCCACACTCACCGGGGCGCCTCTCCCCTGGCAGTCACTCCTCAGCAGAGGCCAGGGGCACCTGCTCCCTATGGCCTTAGGCAACCTCCCTGAAACCATATATTGGGGGCCAGGTAGGCCTGTTAGTAGACTGACTCACTTCCCTGCAGTTGCCTTAAAGTGCACTTTCCTAAAAAAAAAAAGAGCATGAAATAATTTCCTAAGTTGCAAGGTACCTACAGTGAGGTAACAGCGATAATGGTACAACATGAGTATCCTGCCCTTAAAAACGGCCAGGATGGAAATGTTGTCTGATGTTTATGTTACCACAATTTTAAAGATTGGGGAAAAGGAGTTACGAGAGTAAGAACTGAGAATGTAAAGTCTCCCCACTGGCCTGAAAGTGTCCATTTTCAGCCCTACTCCTTCCAATCAGTGAAGGGAATTTAACACACACACATTATAATGTGCTTGTCAGGGAAGTGGGGTGTAAATGAACCAACTTCAGAAGCCCCCAGAGTCCCCGGGGAGCACTGGGAAGGCTGGGATTCCCCCCTCCCTTCTCGCTTCTGTAGGACACTAATCTCTCCAATCCCTCACTCCCAAGCCCCCAGCCTCCCATCCTACTCCCCCTCCCCACCCTCACCCCACCCCAGAGCCAGGCCTCAAGTAAGGCCCACCTGACAACATCCTCTGCTGAGGGCCTTTTGGTGGGGTGGAACATACACAGGTGTTTTATTGCCTTTTAGAATATTTCTGAAAATGATCTTGGTTTTGAGGGAGCCAGAATCATCTCAGCATTTCTCCAGAGGAATACCTCTTCCCTCACGAGCCTGCAGCTTTCAGGTGAGCCCAGGGGAGCGGAGAGGGAGGAAGTGGGCCATGAGGAGGGTGGAGGCAAGACCTGAGAGACTCCAGGTCCAACCAAGCAGGACCGGGTCCTTCTGACACTGAGTCTACACCTGCCTTCCCCACCATGGCCGCCCCCTCCTTCCTGGACAAGTGACTTCCAACTCATTTTGCAGCATTCCTCCCCTTGCTTATACCTCTCTCGCCCCAGAGAGCTGCCTGCTCTTCATTCACATGGCCCCTTGACTGCCACCTCCTTGGGGGGTTCTGACCACCCCACAGAAGCAGCACAAGCCCATCAGGCCGTGTGTCCTGGCTCCCTGCTTGGCTTCCTTCACACCAGTCATTACTACCTGACCACTACCGTATGCCGACGTTTGAATTAATTTATGATGCCTCACAGGAAAGACATAGCTTATTCTAGTACCCACAGACCTCCCCTCACTAGAGTCTGTGGTTTGAATGTGCCTGCAAGAGATGCACACAAAAGGTGGTTCCGTGCTGGTAATACTTTGGGCCATGTGTCAGAAATGAACAGAAAACCACAACCCAGATCCAGGCTGCTTGGGAACCCCACCCATATCACTCCACTAAAGACTGGCTCACAGTCCAAAGCTGCAAAACAAGGAACTAAACACTATGAAAGTTGTCAGACTCAACGAGTGACAGCACGAGACCCTGAGAAGCTTCAGGAACTAGAATGATTGGATCTGGACTATACATTGACCTGGGCCATATCACTTACCCTTCAAACCGCACAGGGGCATTAGCAATTAACTGGAACCACAAGCAGACTTTTTTTTTAATGTTAAGGTAGAGTTTAATGCTGGCTCATTGCTACTTTTCCATCAGATGTCAGCAATGGCGCCATACTCAGTATAAAGACGAGACGCTCCCAAAGCAGAAAAATATTAACTTAGTAGTATCGTGGAGGATGCTATTATGTTTAATATGATTAAACTATGTTTAATATGATTAAGAAGATAAAAGCAAAAAACATAAAAAACAAATCACTATTTTTAAAAAGATCCCTGCCCCCAAAATAGAGCTTCTAGAAGTGAAAACTAAAATTTAACAACTCAGTGAATAAATGGAGCAGATTAGATATAAGGGAATAAAATTAGTAACCTGGAAGATATTTTATGTACCTTTGCAGTATAGAAAGATAAACTATAGGAATATAAACGATAAAGGAATGACTAGATCCACCATAGCCAATAGGCGTTCCAGAAGGAAGAGAGAACAGGTGAGCACAAGATTTGAACAAATAATGCTGACGTGTTACCTGAATTGATGAATTCTCAGATACTGGACGTGTTACCTGAATTGATGAATTCTCAGATACTGGAATCTTAGTGCTTCCTAAGTAAGGTAAATAAAAAGTCCACATCTGATTATATCAGTAAAAATGCCTAAGATAAAAAGATTTTAAAAGTATCCAGAGACAGGGCCTCCCTGGTGGCGCAAGGGGTTAAGCACAGCACTATGAAGCTATCTATCCTCAGCCACTGTGGCAACAAGGTCGATCTCTGGCCAGGGAGGTGACCCACATGGCGCAGCAGACCTCTCCTGCCTCGCCCGCTGCTCCCCTTGGCAGTGTATTTCAGTAGATCTGCCTGTTCTGCTCCCTACTCTGTCTCTGGTGAATCTTCTCACCCCCCACACCTCTGGCCTGTACCCCAGCTCTTGTATGCTTAAATAAATAAATCTTTTTTTAAAAAAAGATATTATTTGTGGTGATTACTGAGCTTTTTCGCACCCTTGATTCTGCGCACACAGCAAGCACCTCACTTGTCTCCTTTGTTCCTGGCCATGCGGCTTAGATGCGGATACAGCTTTTGTTTTTTTATAACGTTACAGTCTTCAGGGCCTCCCTGGTGGCGCAGGCAGTTGAGCACCACGCTGTGAAGCTGTCCACAGCCTCTGCAGTGCTGGTTCGATCCCTGCCGGCCTCAGAGCAACCCACATGGCACGGCAGACCTCTCCTGTCTCACCCGCTGCTCCCCTCAGCAGTGTATTTCCTCAGTCTGCCTGTTCTGTTTCCCCACTCTGTCTCTGGTGAATCCTCTCACTCTCCCATGCATCTGGACTGTACCCTGGTTCTTCTATAAATAAAATAAATCTTAAAAAAAAAAAATTACAGTCTTCACGCACCAGGCTAGGGATTGATGCTTCTGGTGGATGTCCAGGTGTGGTGGACCAACTCCTGGAACTTCCTGGACCAGCAGGGCCGAGAGAGAAGGGAACAGGCATAACGGGGGCGTGACCAGTTGCCCTTTATTCTCCTGTTTTCTTCTATATCCATGTATTTGCTTTAAGTACTCGCCCCCTTGAATGTGACTGGTTGTTTCAAAGGGAAGAGGCAGGCAGGGCTAGGATGTGGGAGAGCCTAGCTAACGCCCGCTAACGCCCACCTTCATTACAGGAAATAACTTCAAAGAAGAGTCTGCAGAGCAGCTGTGCCAAGCACTGTCGGTAAGAAACCAGGGACGGGAGTGGGAGATGTCCCGGGGGGACCTGGGTCGCCCAGGCTGGTGGCTCTGAGCATAGAGTGGAGGCTTGGCAGCCTCCCACATGGTTTAGGGAGAGGTTGTGTGAACTCTGCTGATCCTGGCAAAAGCAGCAGCGAGTGGTAATGCTGTTTGGCGCCTACTAAATTCTCCCCACAACCATCGACAGCTACACAGCAAATGCACAAGAAGTTGTCTTCAATCTAAGAGTGCTAGCCCACCTGAATCGTGGTGTGTGAGAGCTCTCCATTACACCCTGAGATAAGAGAGGTCTCTGCTGTCACATAGAAGACAAAAATGATCTCTCTCTCATTGTTTCTTTCTCTAGACCAATCACCAAATTAAGTCGCTGGATCTCAGTCACAACCAGCTCTCTGATAAGGGAGGAGAGTACCTGGGACAGATGCTGGGTGAGTTTCCCACGGAGGGAGGGCGGAGCAAGGGACCTAGGGACCATTAATGGTAGTTATTATGGTTATTAAATATTCGCATTATAAAAGTGATGTGAACAATACTCAAAATGCATTTTTTTTCCTAAAGATTTATTTATTTATTTATACAAGATTGATTGATTCATTGATTTATTTATACAAGCATTGGGTACAGTCAGAAGCACGGGAGGGTGAGAGAATTCACCAGAGTCAGAGTGGGGAGCAGAGCAGGCAGAAGGACCGAAGTACACTGCTGAGGGGAGCAGCGGGCGGCAGGAGAGGTCTGCGCGCCATGTGGGACCCTCCTCCGATGGCCGGGGAGCAGCTGGGAATTGAACCAGTGCTGCAGAGGCTGCGGGCAGCTTCGCAACCCAGCGCTCAACAACTGTGCCACCGGGGAGGTCCTCAAAATGCATTTTAAATGAAGCCGACGTCTGGATACGGGAAGTAGAACTTTAAAAATGATTAAATAAACAGAGGGAGAGATAATTTGCTGACCTCATGCAAGCTGAGGATCATTAAATACAAACAGCAGGCATCAGCTGCAACAAACACGATTCATATTCGGCAACAAAAAGCTTAAACTTGCATGTGATAAAACTATAGACAAAGGTAAAAGCTAAACAGCAGATGGAGTAGGTTTCTACAGCATTTATATAACAGATCCATGTTCGGAAAGTAGATAGAAGATCTAATATTTATTATCCTATATGAACTAGTCAATGATAATTGCTCCCCATAAAAGAGTGGTCACGAAATATGAGCAGTGAAAAGAGAAAGCCAAACGCCCCCTCTGTGGTCATTAGAGGAAAGCAAAAGACGACAAGAAAAAGATTTCCCTTGTCATCTACCAAGGCTGCAACATTTTCGAGCAGGAATATCAAGTGCGGTGAGCACGGAGGAGAAATAAGAGTGACCAGAAGCTTCTGGGTAAAAGCACTTTGGAGAGCAATTTGAGCGTGTCTGCAACATGGAGAAGGGATTTGCCCTGTGAGGCAGCAATTCCCCTCCACAACGAAGGCCACAGAAGCTCTCAGACACACAGGGATGTCAGAGGAGGTGCTCTGCAAAGGGAACCAAAAAAGACAGTGTAAAAAATTAATAACAGTACAAAACACAACAAAGCAAAAATGGACAATTATAAACAGAGACATCCTGCAGCGGGGGAGGCGGGAGAGGAATCAGAGGGAGGGAGGGAGGAGCCCAGGGGACTGTGGTGATGGTGCATGGGTGCCTTGGGGAAGAAACTCTATGGGGACCACACCTGAAGGGTGGGGGGAAGCAACTATTGTTTTAAAATGAACAATGATGTAAAAAAATATAAAAAATTTAATTAAAAAAAAACTGCTATGAAAGAAAAAAAATCACCTAAATGTTCATCCCTGGGGAAATGAGAGGAAGGGGGAGGTCGCTGTGAGCAGTAGAAACAGGGAGCTAATTTGGATGGGGTGGTAGGAACAGCCCCGCAGGGAAGGTGACTTTTTATTGAAACCTGAATATCAAAGAGGAAACAGCCTGTGGGTTCTGGGAGCACAGCGTTCACAGCTGGCATGTTGGGGGGAGGGGGGGCGGGGGGGGGCCAGTGAGGTTGGAGCAGAGCGGCCAGGGGAGGAGGAGGAGGGAAGAGGGGAGTCACAGAGACGGCCTTGGCCAGACCTATTGGGCTTTGAGGGAGCAAAGGCACAAAGTCTGGGTTTTACTCTACCTGCACTGAGAAGTCCCTGAAGGATGGTAAAATGGGGGGGGTGACATAGTTTGATTAGCAATTTTAATAGAACTGCTGTATGAAGAAGGCGACTGAGCCAGAAGGAAGAAGGGAGGCCAACTCGGAGGCTAGCGTGGTCGTCTGGACAAGACAGGATAATAGGGCGCATCGTGGGAGGAGGTGGTGCTCGAGAAGAAGGCGTGGATTCACATGATATCTTGCAGGCAAAGCCCAAGAGCCCTTGCGGATGTGGAGGAGCAGGCAAGGGGCAGATAAAGACAGGCTCGTGGTTCTTTTGTTTCAGCTCCCGGGTGATTGGTGGGGAAAATTCCATCTACTCCAGGGAGTAACAATAAGAGGGGCAAGATCTCCACTTTGGCCATGTCATGTTTGCAAGCTCCACTCTACAACTCTGTGACCGTTTGCTAGAGATGCGTAGAGCTTGGTGAATAGGTGCAGGCCAGAGATATATAGCCAGGCATCAGGGGGATATAAATGTATCTAATGTGGGACAAGATGAGATTGTCCAGGTAAGGCGTGTAGATAGAGTTGAGCAGGTGGTCACGCATGCCCCTGGGTCACTCCAACATTTTTAGATCCAAGGCAGAGGGCAAAGGAGGAGAAAAGCCTGAGAAGGAGCAGTCAGTCAAATAGGAGGGAAAGCCAGGTCTCAAGGAAACATATAGGGAGTGTTTCAAGATGGGGGAAGTGACTGGCAGGGTCACGTGCCACTTAGAGGTCAAATAAGATGAGGACAAGAGAGGGACATTGGGACTTGGCAGCATGGACATAATTGACAAGGGCTGTGTTGTAAAGTGGGTGAGTAGAAGCCTGACTGAAGTGTGTTGAGTTGAAGATGGGATGCAAAGAAGTGGACACAGCAGCATAGACATTTCTAGAAACTCCACTCAAACAAGGTTGGCTCAGCAAGATGAGGACAGAGTCCAGCAAGGTCTTTAAGGGTGGAAAATGCTGATGGGGGCCTCCCAGGTGGCTCAAGGGGATAAGACGCAACCTATGAAGCTGTTTGCAGCCACTGCAGCAAGAGTTCGATTCCCAGCCAGGGAGCTACCCTCATGGCGCAGCAGACCTCGCCTGTCTCTCCTCAGCAGTGTGCTGAGACCTGCTGCTCCCCTCTGCAGTGTGTTTCAGTCAATCTGCCTGTTCTGTTCCCCACTCTGTCTCTGGTGAATCCTCTCACCCTCCCGCACCTCTTTCCTGTATCCCAGTTCTTGTATGCATAAATAAATAAATCTTTTTTAAAAAGGAATGCTGAGGGCCTCCCCGGTGGCGCAGCGGTTGAGCGCTGGGTTGCGAGGCAGCCCGCAGCCTCTGCAGCGCCGGTTCAATCCCCGGCAGCTGAGCGAGGGTCCCACATGGCGCGCAGACCTCTCCTGACTCGCCTGCTGCTCCCCTCAGCAGTGTACTTCGGTCCTGCTGCCTGTTCTGTTCCCTGCTCTGGCTCTGGTGAATTCTCTCACCCTCCCGCGCTTCTGACTGGACCCAGTGCTTGTATAAATAAATAAATAAATCATTAAAAAATAAAAATAAATCTTTAAAAAAAAATAAAAATAAAAATAAAAAGGAATGCTGATAGGAAGAAAAGAAGAAAATATGATGCAAACAGAAGAGAAGATCATTCCCAGAGCAGAGTCCTGGAAGAGCCGCAGCAGAAGCATCCAGACAGAAATGGGGGTGGGGGGTGGTCAGTGAGCAGCAGGACCACGAGTTCATGGAGAGGGAGGAGGTCAAAAGCATTCAACTTGGGAGGAGAAAGGATAACTTTTCACCTGAAGGTGGAGGGCAGGCTACAGGCATGCAGAAAAAGGAGAATGTGTAAAACAGCACATTTTTGGGAGGGAATGAGCAAAGTGTAGAAGAATCGGGTGGTCCAAGTCTCCATTTGAAAACTGAAGTCCTGAATTTAAGGTGAGACAGACATAATGATTATCATCATACCACATCATCCTTAAAATACATATTCCTTAGTTCAATCATTGATATCAATAATAAAATATTTAATAGTCTATCCTTATTATTAAAGCTACCAAATGTTAAGTGATTCAAATGTGACGGGCATCATATTAGGCATTTCACATCAATCCTCATGAAAACCTTGCTCAAGTTAATATCTCCATTTTACAGGTAAGGGAACAGAGGAAGGGAAGGATAATAACTCACCCAAGGTTACACAGCTAGTAAATGGTGAGGACAGAATTAAAACTTCAATCGTGTGGCCATTTACAAGATGCAGTTGTGCAAGATGTAACTTATGAGAGGGAATTGGCAGAGAAGAAGAAATAAGGGTAAGAAGAGAAAGAGGGAAGGAGAAAAATTATTCTCAAAATAATATCAGGTGTTGTGCACTTTCCAAAAGTACATCCTGGTGATTGACACAAAGAGAGAGACGTGACCAGTATGGAGTGCACCGTCCATAAAAATAAACTAGAATAAGACATTTCTTCCTGCCTGAAACCCAAAGGCAATTCTTCCCATTCAGTAAAGTTTAGAGTGCTTTAGCTTCTCTTTCCAATGCTGTTCTCAGCATAGCCGCCCTCCCAAATCAAAACAATAATGAAGGGCCTCCCCAGTGGCGCAGCAGTTGAGCATTGGGCTTCGAAACTGCCCTCAGCCTCTGCAGCGCTGGTTCAATCCCTGGCCGCCGGGCGAGGGTCCCACATGGCGCGCAGACCTCTCCTGCCACCCACTGCTCCCCTCAGCAGTGTACTTCATCAGTCGGCCTGTTCTGCTCCCCTCTCTGGTGAATTGTCTCACCCTCCCGCGCTTCTGACTGTACCCAGTGCTTGTATAAATAAATAAATAAATAAATAAATGAATGAATGAATGAATCTTTTTAAAATTTAAAAAAAACAATGAAAATTTGCTTAAATGGGATGTTTCCCCAACCCTAGGTATGCTTTATAAAAGGATGCTTTATGCAAAGCATCTTTAAGTTTAAAAAAGTGCAATTTCTATACAAACCCAACTTCTAGGTAAATCTGATATCTCTGCTACCCCAAATGATTGTGTCCCTAACGCTCTCCTGGATAGAAACTTTGAAGCTACCACTGCTCCCGTAGGTCTCCATGAAAAAGACACCACACAATATAATCTGCCCATCAGAGCCTCCCTTTGTGAATGCCACCCCTATTTTCCATGCTGTATCCACCTATTTTAATGGCTGTGTAATATTCCACCAGATGAATAGTTATGATCTGTTTCCCCTTCCCTTGGGAGTCACAAGCCTTCCTTTTCTAAGCGATGTCATGGTAAACATCTACCAGCACTCAGTCCTTCCCTAATCCTGCACTGTCTTCTTAGGATGAGTCTCCGCAGAGATATTGCTGTGTAACGGGGCACACACATTTTAAGGGGGAAATATCTGTGACCAGATAGCATTTGCCAAATAGATTCTATCAGTGTGCTTGCCACCTGCAATCTATGAACATGCTTGTTTCACCACATTGTAGCCAGCACTGGGAATCATCTCACAATTTTGTGTTTTAATGTATAAACAAAAAAAAATAAATCACACCAGCGTCTTCCTCTGCATGACCACTGGCGAGCGTTCTCCCGATGCTGTCCACATCTGCCAACTCTGAGAGGGGTTCTCTGGGATTGGAGGATGCTGACATGACTCCCTCTCTCCCCAGCCCTCAACATAGGGCTCCAGTCACTGGATCTGAGCTGGAACCACTTCCACACACTGGGAGCTGTGGCCCTGTGCAATGGCCTCCGGGTAAGGCACTTTCTGAGAGCGGGGTGTTGAGCCCTCCTAAGGACTCAACATGGCACCCCATCCTACCATCTTGAACCCCTTCCTCAGGGTCACCATTGAGAGGGATTTTTCCTTTAGTAAAGGAAAATCAACTTTCCTTACCTAGGTTAAGTCATCCTACTCGGGACCCCATGATGTTTGGGGGGTGCTTAAGCAGGTAGTTTAATTCGAGGATAGAGAATGACCAGAACTCAAAATGAATGAGTCACAAGAGTACATGAAACTGTGAGCCCAGTGGGGAGGTCCAGAAAGACCTGCAGATCTTGCTCTCCTGGAAGCCCCTGAGTCCCCAGTGTGGCTGCTGTGGGGGATAGCAAGCGGGGCCTGTCTGACCGGCATGCAACCTTATGCTGGCGCTGTTCTCCCCTCGCCCTGGAGGCTAATGTGACCCTGCAGAAACTGGCTCTGTCCATGAACGGCTTTGGGAATGAGGGGGCTGCGGCCCTCGGAGAGGTCCTCAGATTCAACAACAGCTTGAGCTACCTCGATGTCAGCAGCAACAACATCGGCAACGAAGGCATCTCCAGAATCAGCAGAGGACTCGAGTCCAATGAGTGCCTCAGAGTTCTGAATGTGAGGTTTTACCTTCGCTGAGAATGGGCCACACGCGCATGTTTGAGAGAGAGTGTATATGTGTGTGTGTGTGTGTGTGTCCATGCTTCTGTATCTGTGTTTCCATGTTGTGCATCTGTTTCAATGTGTGGGCATATGTGTGCATACCCATGTGTCTGGGAATATCCATGCATGTGTGCATGTGTGACCCATGTGTGTCCATGCTTCTGTGTCTGTGCACACGTGTATATGTGTGTGTGTCTGTGTGTCCATGCATATGTCTGCATACCTGTGTGTGGCATATATGTTGAGGGGGGCAGCAGATAGATGGAGCTGGATATTGTTGGAGAGAATCATCAGGCAAGTCTGCCTTGTGCTTCACATATGTGTATTTATGATTTATTTATTTATGCATACAAGAACTAGGGTGTAGGCCAGAGGTGTGGAAGGTGAGAAGATTCACCAGAGACAGAGTGGGGAACAGTGTTTGCTTCGGCAGCACATATACAGAGTGGGGAACAGAACAGGCAGACTGACTGAAATACACTGCTGAGGGGAGCAGCAGGCGAGACAGGAGAGGTCTGCTGCACCAAGTGGGTGAGCAACCTGGCTGGGGATCAAACTCATGCTTCAGTGGCTGCCGATAGCTTGATACCACTGTGTCTTTAACCCCTGCGCCACCAGGGAGGCCCTATGGGTATATTTGACTGTTTCTCTACTGCAAACCCAGTGTCACCCTCCACTCCCACTTGGCACAAGTTTCTGTCTCCCAACCCTTCTTCCATCCTTCTGTCTGGGTCTCCTCCAAGCTTTCTCGACATTCTGGTGAGAGGGTGCTCTTGATTATAAGTCTGACTTCTACTCCCCATCTACTCTCCTGTAGTTTAGCTCCCCCATGCCCTTGCTCCCCATCTGAGACCTCCAGGTCTTTCATCTCCTTTCTTCCTACCTGAGTCTTACTCCTTCTGCATCCTCTCCTGCTGCACCTCTCTGCTCGCCTCACCACTGCCTTGCTTCAGCGCACAGCTCCAGGAGCAATTCCACAGCAAGCCCCATGGGAACCCTCTTAACCCTGTTCACCCCTTCATGACGAATTTTCCAATTTCTAATTATATTCCCATTTGACTATTTCACTACCTCCTCCACTTGGGTGAAAGCTACACGTGAACACAGACTGTGGGTGTTGCCCATTATTGGGCAAACAGCAGGTGCCCAACAATATTTATTGAATGAATGCAGGCAGATACCTCATCAAGTCTGCCTGTGCATCCCTCAGCACTTAACCCAGCAACCAACATGTGGAAGGACCCCAACACATGTTGGATGGATGGATGGATGGATGGATGGATGGATGGATGGATGGATGGATGGATGGACAGGTGGGTGGGAGACTGGACAAATAGATGGACACAGAGGCAGGTACTTACAGAGAAGTCTGAGAGGAAGACAGAGATTGTGATTTGACAGAAAGAAATGGAAGCTGTCCCATCTCAGCTTCCTCCTGTCTTGCCCCTTTTTTCACAGCTTTTCCTGAACCCTATGAATATAGAAGGAGCTGTTTTGCTAGTCCTGGCCATTAAGAGGAACCCCAAATCCAAGATGGAAGACCTTGATATTTCTGTAAGTGATCAAGTGGTAGTCACTGGCACCAGGGAGCAGCAGGTCCCATGGCCCCTCTCGGGGGCAGGTGCCAGCAGCTCTGTCCCTACATGCCCTCACACAACACTCCAGTAAAAGGCCAGAGGTCTTGGGGTGAACTCTGCTCTCTCCAGGGAGCCTTTCAGTAGGGGGGGCTTTCAATGATGATACCACAGTGTGGGATCCTGGAAACCCAAGCCCTGTGTGCTTGAGAGTGGGCCTGAGAGCAGAGGTGAGAAAACAAAGGTGGAGGGTTTCCCTGGTGGCGCAAGGGGTTAAGATGCAGCCTATGAAGCTGTCTGCAGCCTCTGCAGCATAGTTTGATCCCCCAGCCAGGGAGCTACCCACATGGCGCAGCAGACCTCTCCTGACTCGCCCGCTGCTCCCCTCAGCAGTGTATTTCAGTCAGTCTGCCTGTTCTGTTCCCTACTCTGTCCCTGGTGAATCCTATCACACACACCCCACACTTCTGGCCTGTACCCCAGTTCTTGTATGCACAAATAAATAAATCTTAAAAAAAAAAAAACACACACACACAAGGGGCCTCCCTGGTGGCCTGGAGGTTAAATCTCAGTGCTGTCACAGCTAAGGTGCTAGTTTGAATCCTGGCCAGGAAGCTACCCACATGGCACAGCAGACCTCTCCTGTCTCACCTGCTGCTCCCGTCAGCAGTGTATTTCAGTCCATCTGCCTGTTCTGTTCCCCACTCTGTCTCTGGTGAATCCTCTCACCACCCCCCACACCTCTGGCTTGTACCCTAGCTCTTATATGCATAAATAAATAAATCTTTAAAAAAAAAAGAAAGATAACAAAGGTGAAGACACTCCAAAACCATCAGCTTTGCTGATGGATGGCTCTGGAGCCCAGAATGGTTCCAAGATACAGGAGTTTAGAATCTGAGTATAAAAGCATGTACAAACCTGAATTTTCATTTCACAACTTGGCCTACTCTATTCAGAGTAACATTTGAGGGTGAAACTCCTTCACTCAAGTACTCTTATCTGAATCAGGGTAGAGGGGGTAGCTGATTACAGCAATACCCTCAGAATCCTATACTTGTCCACCATTTTATTCCCTTCTCAGTGATTTTACATACACTAGCTTACACCATCCTGCTCCGGGAGGGAGGTAGAATATAGTGTATCCTAGGGTTCCCATAGCAAAGTACCACAAACCAGTGGCTTCACCAGTAGGTATTTACTGCCTCCCAGTCCTGGAAGCTGGAAGTCCAAGATCAAGGTGCTGTCAAGGTTGGTTTCTTCTATAGTCTGTGAGGAAGTGTCCATTCTCTGACCCCTTCCCAGATGTGGATAGCTCCTGGCTGTGGTTGGCGCTCCTTGGCTCTGTGTGGCACAAGGTGCCCTCCCCATGTACATGTCTGTCTCTGCATCCAAATATTCCCATTTTATAAGGACATCAGTCATGTGGGATTAGGGCCCAGCCTAACGACCTCCTCTTACTCACCCTGATCATCTGCAAAGACCCTATTTCCAAACAAGGTCACAGTCACTAGTACTGAAGTTAGGGCTTCAACATCTTTTTGGTGGGGCTCCAGCTCAATCCATACCAGAAGCTTTTCCTCATTTCCCCCGATTTATATATAGAAACTGACAAAGAGAGGTTAGGTCACTTGCCCAGGAACACACAGCAAATGAGAAGCACAGCAAAAAGTGAACCCACGGGCCTCCCTGGTGGCACAAGGGTTAAGAGGCAACTTACGAAGCAATCAGCAGCCACTGCAGCATGAGTTTGATTACCTGCCAGCCAGGGAGCAACCCACATGGCGCAGCTGACCTCTCCTGACTTGCCTGCTGCTCCCCTCAGCAGTGTACTTTGGTCAATCTCTGCCTATTCTGTCCCCCATCCTGTCTCTGGTGAATCCTCTCACCCCCCCACACCTCTGGCCTGTACCCCAGCTCTTGTATGCATAAATAAATAAATCTTTTTTCTTTAAAGATTTATTTATTTATTTGTACAAGCCCTGGGTACAGTCAGAAGCGCGGGAGGGTGAGAGAATTCACCAGAGCCAGAGCGGGGAGCAGAGCAGGCAGAAGGACCAAAGGACACTGCTGAGGGGAGCAGCGGGCGGCAGGAGAGGTCTGCGCGCCATGTGGGACCCTCCTCCGGTGGCCGGGGAGCAACCCGGGAGCAGCCGGGGATCGAACCAGTGCTGCAGAGGCTGTGGGCAGCTTCGCAACCCAGCGCTCAACTGCTGCGCCACTGGGGAGGCTCATAAATAAATAAATCTTAATAAAAAGAAAAATCAACCCACGCCTTCTGCCTCCTACTCTGATTTCCATAAAGGTAGGGCGCTGGGGTCCCTTTATATTTTTTAAATGCCACACAAATATAATATTTTGTTAAGATTTTAACACTTCACAATTATATCAGTGATGATGTCTTAAATGTTTAAAAACAAACTCCTTGAAACTAAGTAAAATAATAAGTAAAAGTTATGTTCGCCATAAATTATAAAACATAAAAGCACACCTGCCTTTCTTTTCCCTGTCTTCCTGCCTGCTCTCCGGCTTCTTGTGCTCATGGTCTTTCTCCTCAGAAGCCCTCCCTCCACCCTCATTTTACAGCTCTGACCTTATGCCCCTCAGCCCTCCCTGAGCCCTCCTCTGCCCTTCCTCTGAGTCTCGGCCACACCTCCAGATTGTGTTGGCACAGGGTTTTGCCCCCATGCAGATCAGAAGGCGTGGAGCTGGCACTGCCATGGTGGTGGCTGAGGGAACACCGAGACGGTGCTGTCAGCCCTGGTTGGCACATAACCCCGGGGCTGGGCTCACACTGCCGCATAACAAGCCTACCTGAAAAAATGGGTCTGAACCAGCCTCTTCCTCCCTTTTGTCAACTATGCTGCCGTAACTCTACATGGTGTTAAAATCCCTTCACTGCAAAGGCTTCCAGAACTTTTTCTAGGATGTCTGCAAAGGGGAGAAAATAAGCCTTCAGTTTAATTCTTTGAAAAGGCAGAAGACACTCAGAACCACACCTGAGGACTGATGCAGGCTGACCTGGTGGTGGAGGCCGCTTTGAGCCAACACTAGTGCCCGGAACACACCTTCTCCTCTGGCCTCTATCCCAGCTCTGAGGCGCTTTCAATGCACTGGGGGTGATGCCCAGTGCATCCTCAGGTGTGATGGGGTGGCTGGAGTGAGGGGCCTTCTCCCAGGGCCCGTCCTGAAGGCCAACACCCCTGTAGACACAGACATTTCAGGGTATCTGTTTCCGGTCCCGCCTTACACCCCCGTAGTAGTGTCCCCTCTGTCCTGTGCAGGAGCTCAGCGCGGAGCTGAGCAGACAGGTTGTGACAAGCTCCAGCGCTCAGCAAGAGCACAGGATGGAAATGACGTAGCAAGCCCACACATCAAACACCAAGCTCTAAAAACACAGGAACTAGTCAACCCATCCAGAAGCAGCACTGCAGGACAAACTGGAAAACACAGAACACCCTGACTTTGCTTTGGTTGCCGCCCAAACCTGGGTGGGGAGACCCTTGGGTCACTGAGTCCTCTCTCTCCCTGACTCAGAATGTGCTGGTGACCGAGCAGTTCACCAAAACCCTGGAGGGGGTATACGCCATCCACCCCCAGCTGGACGTGGTCTACAAGGTAGTGCAAGGCGCCCTGATCAAGAACACCTACCTCCTGTGGACAAACCCCATGAGACAGATCCTGGTGAGTCTCTGCTTCCCTCTCAGCGCCCCAGGGATCCTTGGAAAAAGCTGACCTTTGGCTCCAATTCAGCCACCCAGTTTCCCCTTCCCAAGGTGGCTGCACAATCCTCTCTGCCCAGGAATGCCTAAGACACAGAAAATTCCCTGGGCATGTCTGTGTCCCTCTGCAGAGAAGGGAAGGGCCAAGAACTGGCTGAAGTGGGGGGGACTTGGGAGCTCCAGGCTCCTCCTCTTTCTGACACCCCACCTAAGGCGAGTCTTGGAGGCTCTCTGTGTCTTAGGATCTTCAGCTGTCAATCCGGCATCTGATTAGTTTCTGGGCCCTGCAGGGCTGCTGTAAGAGTCATCCTGAAACAGGTAGGCCATGTAGGAATAGCGCCTGCGTAAAGTAAGTGCCCCATCAACTTGGGCTATCCCAAGAGCTGCTGAGGATGTCAAGACACCCCTATGGGCAGGATGGCTGGTGGTTTCAGCTAAAGAGGGACCTTCACATCCTTGGCTAGTGTGAACCTGTACCTGGCTTGAGTCTTAGGAGGCAGATGAAATAGTGGGAATAAAAAACCAGGCAGTGTTGGAGCTGGAAGGGCTGTCAGGACCCTGTGGGTTTGCCCCAGGTCTAGTGTTTGTGCTGCTGGCTGTCACCCCAAGGATCCTGCTGCACATGCATGTACACACGTGCAAATTTGACCTTGTAAATGCAGGGTGTACAGGACGTGTGTCCCTGGACCGCTTCCTGCCCTCGGTCTGCCTACTCTGTGGATTAAACAGAAGAGTTCTTGTATGAAGACTGCTGTTGTGTATAAAGTTCTAGAGGCAATCTAAATAAAATACATGGATTGGTCACTGGCCCTATTCCCTCGAGGCTGTGGCACCTCCACAGAGACAACGCCAACGCTTCCACCTTGGAAAAGAGCACAGACCCTGCTCGGGGGTGAAGGCGCCCAGAACCGGGCACACACCGGAGTTTTGGCAGCTCTCCTGGCCAGACCTGTCTGTGCCGGGTTCTTAGTCTGAAATGTGGGAGACCCTGGGGCCTGGCCCACCTTCTGACACCCCCCAGCCCTGCCAGCCAGGTCTGGGAGCTTGGCCACCTTGGTGGGGTGGCTATAACGTCAATCGTGTGCTCCTGGTGTCTCCTCAGAACTACACAGAGCAGCAGCAAATGACCGTCATGGACTTCTTCAGGAGGCTGAACCCGACTGGGTCCATGAAGATGACGGTGGGCGAGTTCCGGAAAGCTATGGTCCAGGTGTGCAGATGCTGAGTGGGTGCAGGCACTGTGGGTGTGGTTGTACATGCATACGTGTGCGCATGTGTGTGCACGCATGTGCAGTGGGAGCCTAAGGGGGTAAGCAGAGCGCGCCACTAACCCTGCTGTTCCATCACCTCCCCAGCATAAGAAAGTCCACGTGAACCTGTTCCAAATCAGGTACCTGATAAAGAAGATGAAAGACAAGACAGGCATGGTGGACTTCAGGTCAGCCCGGGGCCCGCAGCCAGGCCCCTTCTGCTCTGCCGCGGGCAGTCCCCCAATTCCCCATGAGGCATCATCCCTGTGGGGTGACCTGAGCTCTGGGGGCCTCCCCAGCTGCACCTCCTCACCAAACCTGAAGCTGCTGCTGCCTCTCCCCAGGTTCCCAGGCCTAGTCTGCTGTGTAACCTCCTTATCTTGCATTTGCTCTCTCTGAAGAGCCTCAGTCTCAACTTCCTGGCTGTTGGCCGGGGCCCAGCTTCTGGGGACATGTGCTTATAGCCTAACATGAGGGGGCACGGGAAGCCAAATGCCAGACCCCAGCACGGTGAGAGGGTTGATGGAGCGTGTGGCAGGACCTCAGTGACTAAAGGGAACATACCACTCAGGCAGGGAATGTCACATGAACTTAAACAAAAGATGGAGGTAGGACAACTGCACACACTGAAGTGTGAGCCTGCGGGTACCGTGGGAGTCTCAGCCATGCGCCTCTGCTGCATTATTCCTTGAAGAGTTGGGGAAGGGGTGAACGTGGCAGTAACAGTGGCCAACACCTGTGAGCCCTTACCACCTGCCAAGGACTCTGCCAGTCACCAATAAGCACAGGTGCCTGAATTCTCACTGCCCAAGGGTGGTGCTCTTATCAGGGCCAGGCTGCAAATACGAAACTGAGCTTTTCAGAAGGAGCATAGAAGCTAAATGCCAGAAAGGTGCTCTGGCCTTTGACCCCAGGACCCTGGAGATGCAGAATCTACCACCACCATGCTAGACCTGCTGGCCGGAGCCTCAGGACACTGCTGGGTCTTCGATCCGGGCTCCTATCACCCCATGGGCTGTGTCTTGCTGGTGCCCTCACTATCTGAGGAGACCCCCTTTTGGTCCTACCCACAAGCTTTCTGCTGACACCACTGTGCTGTGCCTCAATTCATCTTCTGGGTTGCCAGGGCACAGGTGGGGAGAGCAGACCCTGTTCTGCTTAGTTAGGGTGCACAGGGCTCCGAGCCTCCAGCCTTGCATCCCTCATATTGAGAAAGGTCCCTTATGGGGGAAACGTGCAGCAGGGACAGGCCTCACTGGGCACCCTGCATAGCTAAGGCTTGCACACAGTACCACCCGCACCCCCAGGTCCAGTCACTGTGCTGCTCTGTCTTTGACCACCCCATCTGCCCTCCCTTAAGTGGAGGACACGTTCCTTGGGACACTGGCAGACAGTGCCCAGAGTGGAGAGCGAGAGACCAAGTTGAGAACCTCTAACTTTGCAAATGAACTCACATAGCCACTGAGAGGCAGAAGAGGGGCCTGGATCCCAGAGTCTTGGCCCCTGGGTGGGGGCTCTCGAACTGCCCCTTAGTTGACATGCTGCCAGTTCACCAGTTCTGACTGAAGAGCAGCATAATCACTTTATTGTGTGAATTTTTGACTTTCATTTTTTTTCTACACATGATATGTACTAATACAAATTTGAAATCCACAGAAGTACAGCAGAAATCAGAGCTCCTATTTTACACCCCCCACCCAGTCCCCACTCAGAGCTCTCGGGAAAAATTTCAGGGTGCATGGTTCCACAGCTTTCCCAAGTAGTTGCCATCAAATAGGTGTGAGTGATGCAGAGGTTAAAGCCATGGGCTCTGGGGCCTGACCACCTGAGTTCCAGTACTGGCTCCAGTCCTGGAGATCCCTGGGCAACTCACCCAAGCACCCCATGCCTCAGTTTTCCCATCTGTATTGAGGGGGTCGTGGTAGTACTCACAGCACAGGAATTTCAAAGAGTAAGTGGGTTCAGGCCTGTTAAGCATTTGGGACACCCCATGGCCAGGGGACACATGTGATCTGTTACCTGTTATTTTACCTTGCACACGTGTGGGGTGCACACACACAACTTCACCCTAAACAGGCCCAACTTCACATTCCTCTGCTTTCGCTTTGCCTCAGAGCACACCTTGGCAATTCAGATCCATCTCAGCCTCTTCAACTGCAGCCTGGAATTTCATATCAAGTACTTTTTTTATGGACACTAGTCATTTCCAATGTTTTGGTTCCGTGAGTAGCGCTATCACCAGCACCCTGCTCTAGATAGTCTGCGTATGTGTTTCTCTGCTCAGCAGGCCCAGGGCGATTGCTGGGATAAAGCTTGGCTCCTCCTTAAGTTGAAAGCTACTGCCCAGCCTTTGCCAACCGGGTAAACTAATTCCCCACAACACCCTCCACCCCAGCCTGCCCTGACCCTCACGCACACCCCACATCCTGCTACAGTGAGGAGTTTCCTCCCGATCCCACAAGAATCTGGGCCTGTCTGAACACTCTCTCAAGTGCCACAAGCCTGCCCTGGCCTTCCGCCTAACCCCCTTACCTTTCACACCAGCCTCTTGATGTGACGACACAGCAACAAGCCCGGTCTGGAAAGAGTCTCCGCGGCAGTGAAGTCCTGCCAAGTCAGGGGATGGCGGCGAGGAGGCGAAGTGCGGCCAGGACCTCGGTGGACCAACATCGCGGCCACAGCTGTGAGCAGCGAATAAAGTCTGGCTTGGGTCCGTGCTTCCGCTGCTGCTGCTGGGGACCCGTCCGCGGGAGCCACCCTGTCCTTGTACCCACAGCCAGGGGCGCCTCGGCGGCTGTCTTCACCACCACCAGGTCTAGGCCAAGCACTAGGGGGCTGCTCCAAGGCAGGGAGAGAGGGGTAGGGAGGAGAGGTCGGCGCCCCAAAGCCATGGGCCAGGTCATGTAAACTACCAAGGGGAGAGATTTCCCAGATGAAGGAGGCAGTGACAGAGGCTACCGATGTTCAGAAAATAAGGGCAGAGGCCTTTAGAGGCAAATGTCAAAGGGTCACTATGCTGAGCAAGCCCAGTGCAGAGGACCCAGGGCCTGGTATCTATCTGGTCATGGCGGTCAACACCTGGACACCTGACCTGGGAGCCACATGGTTCTACCTGTAACAGAGGCTTCCTAGTCTGTTCTAGGAATCTGCCATTCTGCATTTGTTTTCAGTAGTCCTGGGGAAGCTGGGGATCGTGAGGAGCTTAGCATAAGAGCAGGAATTGCTGACAGCAAGGAACACGGAGCGGAGGGGTGGGGAGGGCTGGGCTGAAAAGGGTTTGGATTAACCCAGTCAGTCATCTTTGTGGACAAGGCTAGGAACTTCTCCTGCACCTTGGTAGCACTGCAGTGTCTGCATGTAGTAGGTGCTCAATAAATACCTGTGCAATGAACAAACCCACCTGCCTGGTGTTTGTTTTGGGCAAGTGGTGGGACACTGAGAACACTGGAGGGTCTCCAGAGCCAGACACTGGCCGCTTTTGGGAAATAATGGAGATTATGAGGAAGCTAAACTCTCATCACCACTTGGCCCTTTGGCCAAGCCTTGACACTGCTGCCCCATTAAGTGAAGGACCCACGCCAAAACCCTGCTGGTAGCTGCCGGGAGGCTGCCCAGAGAAGAGGTGGTTCCTACTCGTAGCCACTAGGTGGCAGGTCAGCTCCAAAAGTCCTCCTGAGGGCGATGCTCCCAGCTCTTACACAAGTTTCCCAGTCGGCTTTGCCACCTTGGCCACACACTTTCTCTCATCTCCCAAATTTCCAGCCCTGTAGAGCCTGGCATGAAATCTGAGCCCCAGAGGATGCAGCATCCTGATACTTAGGCGGACCTTTCCGAGGCTCAGGACCCTCGTTATGAACTCAGGTTTCTACCCACTTGCGACTTTTCATCCTTGATGGAAGGAAGAAAATCAGGCCCCCAATAAAACTTCCATAAATAGGGCCTCCCTGGTGGTGCAAAGGGTTAGAACGCAACCTATGAAGCTGTTTGCAGCCTCTGCAGCATGAGTTCGATCCCTGGCCCCCCCATCAGCCAGCGAGAAACCCATATGGCATAGCAGACTTCTCCTGACTCACCCACTGCTCCCCTCGGCAGTGTACCTCAGTCTGCCTATTCTGTTCCCCACTCTGTCTCTGGTGAATCCTGTCCCCCGCCCACACACACACACACCTCTGACCTGTATCCCAGCTCTCGTATGCATAAATAAATAAATCTTTTTTTAAAAAAAAGTTCCATAAATAATCGGTTCCTCTCCCCGTCAGCCCACTGGGAGCTGAGTGTGAGCACAAGAGACAGCGCCATGTGTCACTCCTCTGAGCCTCTACTTGACAAATCAGGAGGCTGGAGGCTGGAGGTTCCAGTGGGAGCTCAAGCCCAGGAGTTCACAGAGGGATCTTCAGGCCATCAGGTCAGAGGTTGGCCACAGGTGTTGGCCGCAGTTGCTGCCCACAAACCCAGAACAGAAGGGGATCATGGGGCTGCAGCCCTGGGGAATGGCACCTCAGCTTTCCCCTCCTCCTGTGCTCAGCTCCTTTTGGCTTCAAGCACTGGCTCTTTGGAAGCTCAGAGATCTGGGGTGATGAGGTCAGTTATTACCCCACTTTACAGCCGGGGAAGTGGAGGTGCGGTGAAGTTTAACTTCTTCTTTTCCAAGGTCACCCTCTAGTAAATGGCAAACAACGCTGGGTCCCTGGGGTCCTAACCACTGTGCTACCCTGCCCGGCTGTGACTTCCACGCAGCAGATTTCTACCAACAGGAGAGAGTTTAAATGCACTCGCTCTGTTTACCTCCTTTCTGCAGCAAGGAGAGGAACAGCTAAATCAACAAGCAAGCATGTACTCCAGGCCAGGCCGGACTGGTTGGTGGGAGGGAAGAAAAGGCAGACACGGTGATGCTCTGTGGAGATACCTGCTCTCTGGGCTGAAGCAGGAGCCACTGTCCCAAAGGCCCAGGAGCCGCAGAGACTCTTCCAGCAGCAGTGGCTTTGCAACTGAGTGGGCCATGAAGCCGAGTAGGGCAATGCCACTTGGGGCCCCTAGGGCCTGCAGGCCAGTGCTGGCAGCTAGCAGGGGCTTGGGGTTGGCCCTGTTGTGCTTTGAACAAAAGAAAACAGTGACTGGCAAGGCAAGCCTGTGTCCCAAACACCAGCGACCAGTGACCTTGGACCAGAGGAAAGGAACAAGTCTTTTCAGGAAACGGACATCCTGCAGGGAAGGGCAGCTGGGCCAAGGCGTGTCTAAGGGGGGACAGTGGTGTGACTCTCGGAGAGCTGCTTTGTGGCTTGGCCACTGGTGTGGGGAGTCTGTGGCTGAACAAGAGTGGGGGGCTGGCTGGCTGCAGTGGTGACCAGGGTGAACGGCACCTGTTTGTGGTCTAAGAACAGAAGGGGCCTGTTTCCCAGCTCCTGGCACCCAGCTTCAAAAACCCTTGGGATTTCCTGGGTGTCAGGAGTGTCTTTCCGCCAAGGGAGGTGACTCAGGTGGGCCCCTAATTAGCTTCAGCTAATGGGAAGCAAATGGGGTTCCTCACCCCAAGAAGAGCCCCAAAACAGCCAAGAGAGGAGTTTTCCCAGGAGGATAGGGGTTGCATTGAGCATAAAACAGCCAGTGTTCAGTCCCTCGGGCCCACATATGGGAACCCCAGGGAAAACTCTGGGCATCCAGGCCACTGGTGCTTCCAGGGACGGAAACACACAGGTGTGCTGGGGGGCCCACAAGCTCCAACTCCACGGGAGAGGCCACAGAAGGGGCGTCCTCCCTCCCACCCCCTCCCCTAGATGTCTCTGCAGTTAGCTGCTCCTGAGCATCCTCTGCAGTGAGATGGAGTCCTAATATTGGCCCCTTCAGGAGTTCTGTGAGTCATTCCAGGATGATCAAAACTGAGGAGCTCATGGGAACCCCCCACTTGTAGCTGGCTCGTCAGAAGAGCAGATGTCCTGGGGCCTACACCTGCTGCGGCAGCTGAAGTGTGGATGAGCCCTCAGCAGGTGGAGCCTGATGCCAGCTCTGGCACTTAGTGTCAGGATGGAGTTGCTGGCCAGCCCACGCGGTGCTAGCCAGATGCGTGGGAATGGACATTGCACAAAAGCACACTCGCGTGGATTAAGGCGTGAGATGTGTACATGAATGTGTCCAACAAAAGGGGCCTATCTGTGTACCCACCTCTCGGTGCTCCTACTTATTTGCTGCACCTAATAGCCTGGCTGCCACTCACGGTACCCCTCTCCTGCTATATCTCCTTTGACCAGAAGAGGGTGCTTGAACCCCACAAGTGCTGCAACTCCAGGACGCTGCTCCCGCTAAGGAGGGGCTTGGGGAAGCACCAAAAAAAGAAAGCAGGACCCCAAACCGGCTAAGAAAATCCAATCCTTATTAGGGCCTGAAAAAGGCAGCAAGACAGTTAACAAAGGTGACACCGAGGGTGGGTGGGTCAGATGGCCATACCTGTCTGGGGAGCAGATTTCTCCACAGGGCAGAGTCAGGTTCTGTAGGGCCTGAGCTATTTACCAAAAAATAAATAAATAAAATTACAAACACAATGTTAAGAGTAGAGAGTGGGTGTTTGTTAAGAAAGGAGAATGAAGGGGGAGCTCACAATTAATGACACCTTTTTAAGTTGACAGTGGCATAAACACCAAACCCTCCCAGGGACTTGGAAGGGGGTGTCATGAGTGTGGGCCTCTCTGCAGCTCAAGCCTCTCTAGCTCTCTAGTAACCTGCCCCTGCATCATCCCCTCCAGCAGCCCCCCAACACCCTCCTAATGCAGAGTCCACCTCGCATCATGAGCCTATCCTTCCACCAAAAATGGGCAGGAAGCCCTCAAGGCCCATGGGTTCTGCCCATGTGGGCCGCTGTCTGGGTCTCCATGCCTCTCTCCTCACTGCTGTCCTTGGAGCTGCCTATTAAAGTCACACCGTGAACATGTGCAGGCTGTCCTATCCCTCCCCGACACACCAACGGGGGGGCACCATCTTCATTAGCTTTGCCTTTGGGGAGGCGTGATACGGTTTTGTTAGAGTTTCTCCAGTTCTAGTTCCAGAGTGGTCCCTGATCTACTCAGTGTTGATTTGAGATTATTAAACCCCTCCAAATGCCTTTCCCAAGGGCACTGTGACAGGAAATAACCCCTTCTAAAGATTAGAATGCAAGTAAGAAAGAGACAAAGACAAATGAATAAGAAAGAGAAAGGTCATGTACATTCATTTATACTGAAGTGTAAGTGACTTCAGTTAAATTCGATATTCATTAAGGGCCTACTATGTGCCCAGGTCTTGTGGGCATATTTGAGATACATCAGGGAGTAAAGCGACAAAACCTTCCATGGAGTTTACATTCTAAAAGGAAAGAGTGACCACAAATAATAAATAAATGAACATTAAATATGTCGATAAAGTATCAAGATAATAAGTGTTATGGGAGAAAATAGAGCCCAGAAAGGAGGGTCATCGCTGGGGGTGGGGGTGGGAGGGTTACAATTTTAAATAGGGATAAAGTGATAGCTGAGCACGGCTTGAGGGTGGTGAGGAAGAGCCTTGTGGATATCTGGGGGAGGATTTCCCAGGCTGAGCCAAGGCTCCGAGGCAGGAGAGTGCCTGGTGTGCCTGGGGACCAATATGGTGGCCAGTGGCTGGAGCAGAAAGAGGGGAGGAGTATGGTGAGAGGTGGGGTACGAGGGAGTGGGGGCCAGGTCAGGTGGACTGCAGGTTTGGGGCAGAGGAGGGGCAGACTCTGACCTCTTCCAAAAGGCTGCTGTTG